GAACCCGCACGCTTGTTCAATATAGACTCAGGTGCCCGCATCCCACAGTCCTCAGTCTCCTCCACGCCCTCGCCGCAGGACATTTGTTGATCGTTTACCTTGATGAGAGGATGTTCTGCTGTTGGGCCAGTATTGAAAGAAGGGCAGGCTAGTTTTAAAAAAGCCAATCAGCCAATTAGTGACGGTTTCCGTAGAAATCGTAAGAATAGGAATCAAGATTCGAAGACGTATCGAAAATCTGCTGCTCAAGGTACAAAACTGGATAGTAGAAATCGTCTAGAACCCCATGTCTATCGCTTTATGCTTCAAACCAAAAATCAGTTTGATAGGAAACACAGGGCATCGGAGTAAGATTGGGCGCCCGCACACAATACACAGATTGTGCAAAATCGATGCCAACAGAACATGGGTGCCCGGCAGGGGACCAGTCACGCGGCAAAAAAGCACAGACGTAGACGGGTCAGTGGGTGAGTAGTAGTAATGTAGCGATTTAGCGTCAAGTCAAATGGAATGTGCTACAGCACGACCACATTGCTCTGCATGCGCTGCGATTCGTCCGCCTTCCCGCCGCGCGACAGGTCTCCCGTCGGGTACCCAACGGGATATCGTGGAACTCATCATATTGGGGAAGTGGCACATAGCTCTCTCAACCTAATTCCTATGGTCTATTGCGTGTGCTGAAGGCAAACCGTTGCTACAAGCATGATTGGAGCATCTACTAATTGAGGTCGCTCTTGAAAACCTTTTACGTACTCGACATAGCTACCTACACAACAGGATCGATGACTTTCAAGGAAGACTTCTTTAATTTATCATCGCAGAAAGCGTCAACTCCGAAGAGCAATATTGTTTCCTTTTTGATAACTCTCCACCAATAAAAAGGATAAAGCATTTGCCGTTGATCAATCCCTTTTTGGGATGCGGCACGCATTCTACTTCCATTTGTACATTCGTAGTGGCGTTTGAATGCGATGTGGCCTATACAATGACTTGCGGGGCCAGCCGACAAGTCAGTGTTTTTATCCTCCCAGACAAGTCTGGTACCAATTAACCGACCCCGGAGGGATGGAAGGCTTGGTTGGCCCGGGCGACTCACGACCCAGGATTTGATCCCGGACCGCTCGCGTGGTAAGCGTGCCACTTGCCACTACACCACTTCCGCCCTCTACCAATATGATGGTGCTGTTCTGGGGGTTCTCAGCCACATTGTTTTCTGTGACCAGTTTATGTTGTTATCGTGATTTTGGAACACTCTGTTCATCACAGTAGTATTCATAGATCCGCTAAACGCTGCAATGAGTAAGGAACTGAATACTCCTTGGAGGAGGAGTGTGATCCTATACACCAAAAGTTGTCTCAGAAAGTGCGCGACTGAATTGGCAGTTACTTGAAGTGCTCGATTCGTCGAAAGCTTACGAAATGGGTAATAACGAGACTACTTCAGACATCTGTAGGAGCAAAGTGCTGTCCTAGACTATCCCACTCTGAGAACACCTGTTAGAAATCCCATGAGGCCGTTTCCCAAAGATGATGCAGAACTGGTGCAAGGTGAAGTTGATCAATCTTCTTC